GCAACCAATGGTTGCCTATCTGTCAAGGCAGACAAAAAAAGTCATTAACCACTACTCCTTAGCGTACCAATGTTTCCCTCTGACTGTAGAGCACACCAAACAGTGACTTTTTTAAGAATGTAACAGCGTCTCAACTATGGCTTCTGGATTATTATTGTTCGTAAAGCGAAAATTTTTCTTACAAACATATCCATTATGGCAAGAGTGAGCTGCATCGCTAAACAAAGTTCTCTTGTGAAAATCGGTTTCGGTGGCTAACTCCTTTCGGGCCCATTCACTGAACGTGCGATTGACTTGATTGTCGTCGTTCAGCTTCAATTATTGCAAGTGTTGGATTTTATAGGTCCGCAAAATCAAGATCTTTCTGAGAGATCTTCTATAAATGGATGGGCACAGCTCCAATTGACGCTCGATGGCGAATGGATGTATGCGTGCTTCTCGAAAACTCTGCTCTGCAGCATGCGAATTATGTACTAATACAAACTTGGTGTGAAACCGATCCATGACTTCTCGAATTACCAATCCTGCTGCGCGATTATGTCGTTCGAATATTGGACGTAGCGCGTCACACCCCTAAATGATAAGGGTAGTCCACTCCTAATTTTTTTTTGATTTTTTTGGACAAAATTTTTTTTTAAACTATATTTTTGAAGTGACATTACAAAATATTTACATATAATCCTAAATTTTTAACCTTCTATCATCAAAGCCTATTTTTCCAACCAAAAAAATTGCTTCCACAGTTTTTGGTCAAAAGTTTTGTATGCCCCCTTTTTTCAGAATATGGCATTAAAAAATACATATTATATAGCCCTAAACGACCGATTGGGGGTTCGTTCCTGAAGTTACCCGCGGTAAGGCATGCTTGTCGTAATAGGCGACTTAAATGCAATAGTTCCTGCGACTGTTGGATCTTTCTGTCGGAACGACCCGGATTTTTATCCGGCCGTGGTCATTCCCGCCACATCCCCCAAAAAGTACTTTTTTGAATATTTTTGTGGTTACAACAACAACAACAACAACCGATTGACTTGAAACTTCTTCAGATTGCTTCTATGATTCCTGGGAAGGTTCTTACATAAAATAAAATTAGTGGACCAGGGACCGACCTATTTGAATAAATCTTATTTTTGGTTTGATTTACTTGAAATTCGGTATACATATTTGGATGTTTGCTTAGATTAACAGGAAGTTTAAACATCTCTCCGAGAAGTGGACTAGGAACCGACTTATGCAAAAAACGCACTACTCTTATCTCCGGAAAGTGGACCAAGGACCGAACTATTCGAATAAATTATATTTCTTTTTCGATTTACTTGAAATTTGGTGAAGTTCAACATTTGCTTTAGATAATCAGGAAAACTACTTTTCTCTCCCGGAAGTTGTCCAAAGTCAATGGAAAAATCAAAAATGCTCTATTCTCAAAAGTACTGAGTAAATAGAGTTAGGATAAAAAGATATCTCATCATTAATTTTTCATTTATTCATGTATGTATACATCGAAATCTTCATAATTTTTCGCTTTGCATGGTTTTGACTTTCGTATAATTTTACCTGCTGCAAACATTAAGAGTTAAGACTTGCATTAGTATTACAACAAAAAAGTCTTAAATTGCTTAATTGAAAAAAATTTGAATAATTAAATAAGTATTTTTAGAAGTATCATTAATTAACTACATATGTACGTGGTAGTAAGGTTCAGTTTTATTTTTAGAGTGTAGGTATGTATGCATGCGCATGTGTCAAATCTTCTGCCGAAGTGGAAAGTGATTAACTTTCAGCTTTTCATTTAAGAAAATGTCCTTTGGCTGTGTGTGATTACAACTCAAATCACTTCGTATATGTAAAACTAATTTCCGATAAATCCAATAAATCTTCGATTTTAGCAACCCAGCAAGGGGTTATAGCAAATCACTGTTACTAAATTAAGTGAATTCAGTATACGAAAACATAGTTTTAATATTAGCTGAGTAACAGTCTCACAAAATTCGAACTGTCTTCTCAAGGCTGCATTTGATTGTTTCCCTTCTTTACCATAGAAAAACTTGATTTTGGCGGATGTAATGAAGCAAATGTTGAAATTCAAGTCATTGGCCTTTCAAAAAATATTAAATACAGGATAAATAATTGCTTTAATTATCTAAGATGGAAATAATAGCTTATCCGTTCGGAGGCAGCTTGAAGTTTTGGTCAGCTCATTTGTACACAGGAGAAACATCATGCAGTTTACTACAAAGTGGATGAAAACTGAACCAAAATCCATACTGGATTTGAAGCAAAAATATCATTTCAATAAATGAAAGTTTAATTAAGCTCTGCTCTGCATTGTCTCTCGCTAATTTACGCTCTTATTATCGACGCAAAGAGCTCGGGTGTTTCAAAGCCTTTTGTGTTTGACTTAATAAAAGTGATGATTATTGAAATAAACTTTCCAAAGTTTTCGATTAACACATCCATTATTTTATAGAAAGCGAAAGTCCAGCCAAGAAAGTACTTTTAAGTTTTTTACTCTTCGCAATCACTTTTCTTTAGACCAAAGCCGCTGTGCACTGGTCTCTAATCAATAACTAAATATTCAAATTTAAATTTTTGGCATCTTTTCCATATTTTGCTACCGGAAATACAGAAAAAAATTGAACTTGTGTCTATGTGGACAGTTTAATGATTTAGTAGTTGGAGACTTCACTTCCTCAGTTCGAATCCGTGCTCAAGGTAATTGGTCTAAAGAGGTTCAAAAAGGAGTATAAGTGTTTGAATAGAGAAGTAGGACTTATTTTGGTCTAAACGTAGTTAAACCTTGCCAAAGATAAGACGAACATCATACGAAAGTCTGCATTTAAACCATTTTTGAAAAGCGAGAGAGAGAGAGAGAGCTTTAATTTCCAATTGTGTACCCAGTCTAAGGTATCACCTTTTTCAAGAGCAATCCTGTGATAGAATGTAATGCTGATTCCGAGATAGGCAAAATTATCTCGGCTTGAACGTTATGACTGTCAACAGTGACGTGAAAGTCAAGTCGGGCATGCGTTGACTGTTTGTTTGCTGACAGGAGATATTTCATCTTGCGCTCGATGACTAACTGACCCATAGGCTTCTTTTTCTTATCGAGTCTTGAGAGCGCCAGTTAAGGCCATTTATGTCCATAACATCGGCCTACGCTAGCAGCTATGTACTCTTATAGCGGATTGCCTCTTCTCCAAGCAGCTCTGCATCTGCTATTATTTTCCCTAATAATAGATTAAAGAAGTCATCCTCAACTTATCTGCAACCTCATTTGGTATCGAACGGCGTGGAGAGTCCTTTCCTGATCATAACGGAGCTTGCGGTGTTGCGTCAGTTCACTAAGCCGTATAAGTTTTGCGGGGCATAGTCAGTTTCAACAAAGAGCTGGTGTGTGGCGAGTTTTTCAAGATTTGGCTCATGGTTAATATCCGTTCAATGGTGGATTTGCCAGTTCTAAAGCCGCATTGATGAGGTTCCATAAGTTTGTTAACGAAGTTCTTTAGTCTTTCCGACAGTACGCGCGGTAATATCTCTTATACAAATTGGGTAGGGTTATCTCACGGTATATGGCACAGTCTGTGAGCTCCAACTTTATGTAAATTAGGTACATCACACTTAGGTTCCAAGGTTCGGGCACACAATCGACCATATTTTGCGAAGAAGTTAATGGTTCTTCGCTGGCGTATTTGAACAGCTTGCCCGGCAATCCATCGGTTAGCGCCGCTCTTTTTGTTTTCAAGCAATCAATTGCTATTTGACCTTCTTCATAGTCGGAGATTGAATCAGCTGTTCGACCATCATCGATTGGAGTATCGGATTCAGCATCTCCTGGGGTTCCATTTACACTGCCATTCAGCCGGTTGGTGTAATGGTGCCCTACAAATCCAGTATGCTCAATATATCATCAGTCGCTAGATGACCTGTTTGGGTACTACAAGAGTTTGCTTCGGTCTTGAAACATTGGGCAGTCAGTTTCTCAAGCTTTTCATCTTTTTTTGTCTACAAGTTCGTCTTGCTTCCCTCTTAAGTTCTCGGTATCTATTTCAACCCTTATGTCTAATGGTCGGACGCAGGGTTGCGAGGTAGGCAAGCTGATTTCACTTTGCTACGGCACGGAAATACTCATCGGTCTAGCTGATTTTTCGGCATTTCCGAGAACTAATAGTTTAGTTTGCGACTGTTCGTCGGGGGATTGAAATACCGTCCCACCGTTCTCTTATGCAGAGTTGCTGATATTCTCAGAGAGCAGGAGTGCAAGTTGAAAATCGGTTAGCGTCGATTCTTCATTGTGTTTGTTGACGGGACAGAGACGGGTGCGGACTATTAACTAAGTGCTTCTGGGGCTTGTTTACAATCAGCGGACTGTGTACAGAATATCTACATTTGATTTATTTTGAGTTTTTGCTTTTTTTTGTATTTCGATAATCTTGGTTTCCAGGAAATATAACCAGATTAGACTTTTTGTTGGTTGATCAAATTTATCAAAACAAAATTAATCAACTCGATGCCTTTCTAAGTATGTATAGTATATTATAGGATATTACAGTAAGGCGAATTGGTGAAAAGAAGGCTTAAATAAACCATAAAATGCAAAGAAACATATAAGAAAGCAGCAACAAAAAAATTAATTTCGCTTATGACACTGAAAATAAGTTCTCTTTAAACACTTTCTTCAGACAAATAACGATGAAAGTCAATAAGTGACCATTAAGAATGCAACTTAAAAATTTACAGCCGTGTAAATAAGAAAATTACGAAAGAAAAACAAGAAAATTAAAATAAAACTGAACAATAATTGAGTGGTAAAGTGTGTGCTTGAGTGAGCTTTCACTGCTTCCATCTGTGCAATGTCGCATTTCAGTGCGATTTTCGAGAATTTGCGGTTGGTGGCTGCGAAACGTATGCCCAGCACACCGACACATCAACAAAAGCAACTGCAAGAACAACAACAACAACAACAACAACAACAACAACAGCAACAACAGCAGCAACAACAGTTGGAGCATCAACATCAACATAATGAAATAGTAAACAACGAAATTCAAACAAACCATCTTTCTTATCAATGCTCGCCGCCATCGTCGGAAAAGCGAAACGAAAAGGAGAATGACAACAGAAAGTCACAGGTACACATTAAAGAGCCGCATGAAAAGGTGCAGAAGCCAACTGTCGGGGACAGTAGTAGTGGTGGAAATATCCAAAACGCAGCACCAAATCGACAGAATTATGCAAAAAGGCAAAGTATTTCAGGTCGTGGCGCTGAGAGCGGCAAAAGCTCACCTTCACACGTCGGGCGAAATGCAAGTGCGGCAGTTGGAACTGGTACCAGTGTTATTGTTGAAATAGATGGCAATCGTAGCGCTGGCGGCGTTGGTGGCGGTAAGGCGCGTGAGCTTTCGCCCACACCGAAAAATCAAGGGCAACGTAAAATGTCGCAGGACTTTCGTGCGCGTGCTGGTAGTTTTATACATGTCGACGAGGAGGGGCGCAGCATACTCATACGGAAGCCTGTACGTCTGAAGAATATCGAAGGCCGACCAGAGGTTTATGATACTCTACACTGTAAGGCCAAAGAGGTGAGTGTACGTTAGCTGTAGTTTTACTATATAGTAAGTATTTATGTTAGTAGTGATATTTTCGTTTATAATTTTTCAGCATCGTAACATTCGATCCCTGAGAACACGTGATTCAGACTAGGGACTAGGGTACGATGATAAGTAAATGGACAATTAGTCTACCAGCTTCTAGCTTGATTGGAAAGGCCTGTGTAAAGGGTCAAACCTATTAAATCATAGCGTTTTGGAACCCGTACCTTTTGCCTAGTTTCCTCTTACATAAGTTTATATAACTGGCGCCTTGTAACCACTATAGCGATTTTTGGCCAACCTCCTCCTCCAGTTTTAGGTATGCGTCTTGATATTTTTTCAATATATGGTGGGAGCTATAGTTTATACTGAGTCGTCTCCGAGCGGCTGGTGGATTTTTATGTGGAGCTTTCATTTCATGTCAGAAATACACTCGGAGGGTTTGAAATTCCATGCAGCGACGCGACTAAAATTAGGAAAATTGACTTGATTTTTTTAATGAAGTTATATTTTCTATGTTGGTCGGGCCTGTAGTGGTATACAGAACCCTCCGCACGCCGTGCGTACTGCAAGCCACTAGGCTACTGCGGCAATTTTTAGGTGTGTATTCTGTAACGTTATTCTATACCGAAGCCTGCTCTACATCATACCTCTTCGAGGAGGAACTGTGTCCTACCTGTGGCATTAGGTGTGGCGGACTGCTAAGTATCTTCTCCAATTATTCTGACTAAGATTCATTCATCGGCTTGGTACAAACAAGATGAAGAACAACATCAACAAAAAAAACTCTTAAAAGTAAATTAGTATGGGGTGGCTAGATTGGATGACTTAAGAAGTCTGTCGGGACCTACCACCAATCGAAGAGCTCAAGTAAGAAGAATACCGATACTCCTAAGTTGTCTCGGGAAGCAACGAATCGGTACAGATATCCCAATCGCAGTAAACCTAGCATAGAACGTCGCTCAAGAAAACATGAGTGTGAACTCATTTGTGATAGTGTGCCAATTTGGGAGGAAACAAAACGACACCGAGAGCAGCTCATCGTTAGAATATATTGGATACCGCAAAACACAATTACAGCTCGAACCGACGAAGAAGCAGCCTCTACATGGCATTGTAGTGAAAAGCAGCAAAAAATCAGAAGGCGATCTTCCGTCAGCACCATGCGGGCCTGAAGCACAAATCGTTAAGCCGAAGACGAACACTAAAAGGCACACCACGTTCAATCTATGAAGCCTTCGTAGAGACAAATCAAAGACCATCAACAGGGCACAAGGGTCTCACTGAAGCAAAATACATCTACTCAGCCATGGAAGTGAACGAAATCATTCTCCAGTTGGGCAACATAACTGCTGAGCTGCTTCTGATCAACAGGCGCTAAGGTCTGTGCATGTATGAGACAGCTACGCTGAGGCTATGCTTCCTAAGACCCTCCCTGCAGAATTTCTGTCGCCGGAATATCCATATCATTAGTGTGGGCACCGGATACGCAATAATCAAATCATGCCTTACCACGGATGAATTCGAAGAGAGCGGTTAAATTTTTTAAACCATATGTTTATGAGGTACTTCAATGGGGGCGGAAAAAGTACTACGAAAATTGGCTCACAGGCGTTCAAACGGTTTTTTTTTATCTTCGTGAGACACAATAACGCCATTTCTTATTTATAACTATTTGATATTTAAATGGCTCAACGCGTAAAACATTTATTTTTGAACTCATGTGGAAATCCCGGGCACAGCTGTAGGCGATATTCCCGCTTCCTTCAGGTAGCTAAGAAGCATATAGCAGCACTGAGCTATTTATTTATTTGCTTTCACGTTTGTGCGAAGTCGGCACACCGAGTAGGTGGAGGCTTACAATGCAATCTGTGTGCAACTTAATTAGCAATGAAAGACATTAAAATGCGCAACTGCCGCAATGCGTACGCGGTGTGTGTTTGGGTCGGCAGTTGGAGGTAGCAAACGGGAAGTAATTGTTAATAAAACCAGGTGAACGTTCGTCATGATTCTCTTACTCAATTAAGCAATTACAGGCAACATCAGCGAATCGCTTTTAAAATCAACTTCCGTTGCTGCACTTCTTGTGACGGTTAATTAACGCCACAGCGGAATTACCGTGGGTAATAAGAAGTGCGTGGTCTGAGCGATTCTGTTTATGCTGCTAAGATTTATTAGTTTTATATAAATTTTATTTTTAGAAATTAGAAACAAAATTGGAAAAATCATAAATTTTAACCATACACGTATGCTTGCACGTCTTCTGTTGAGTTGAGTTTTTGTGGTTGTCACAGCTCAAATAATAAGCGCAATAAGATCTGATAGCCTATTATAATATATGTATTATGATACTGCTATTGGACCTGTGAAAAAGACCTCCCTTTCCTTTCAACTGATCTTTCATCCATTCACGATTCTGCACCACATCACAGGGCGGATAATGATGAGACACTTGTTAGAGTTCAGTTTTTCTTTGCCGAGAGAGGAATTTACTCTTCAATTGTTCTTGTTCGTTTTATTTTCTCCAGCAGTAAATTAAAGTAGTCACCTTGTCTGAAGACTAGTTTCGTATCGATCGGCACGGAGCAGTCCTTGCTAATCCTGAAGGAGCTTTTGGCGTTGCGTAACGTCAGTTCATGCATCGAATTATGGAGAAGTGTTTCCAATCGTTTGCATCACGCACTAAATAATCTCTCTGGGTCCTATAAAAGTTTTCTCCGTTTCTTGACACTTTCTGTAGGTCGCTGTATCCTTCAGCTTTTCAAGATTTGATAATCATAGACGTATCGCTTTTTCTGTCTGTAAATGCGTTGCACTCCCCTTTTAAATTCTAGGTTTATTTCCCAACCCGCACGTCTTGTGAACGATCGCAATGTTGTGAGGTAGTCAGTCCGTCTCCTCTCCACTATAGTTCTTTCAGAATACAGGTGCTAATCGAGTAGAAAACTATTCGGCTGCCTATTATGAATGCAGCCTTTCGACATCGAACCTTCATTGTGTCCGCGCGGATGCGTATCTGCGCTGCGACAAGAGAGTGATCCGAGTGGATGTTAGGTTCTCGGTACGTACTCACATTTAAAACACTGAATACATGCCTTCCGTCACCTTCACAAGATCCCTAAAACGTTTGAGGGGTCACTCATTACAGGCTTTGTTTGATTATTCAAGCAAGTACATTTTTCAGGATTTGGGTCCCAACGCTACGCACAAATCCAGCGCTATTCACCTTCATATGGATACATGTTGGCTGCCCACAGGACATTTGGCCTAAGACCGGAACTCGGGAATTGCTTCAATCAGTTTAGAGCCATTTGCATCTTATTGTCACTTTAAATATCGGGAAGTTGAGGTTCTATAGACTACTATACCGAATCGGTGTGGAGCTTTGTTTTTAAGCGGATTCTGTGCTGTGGTTCTTCCAGATCATTCTCCTTCATAACGTTCAGCTCGCTTTTGGTTTGTCATAGGAGAAGCTTCAACTGTTACAAAGCGCCAATGATACAATATATGAAACGCGACCTAAAAGCTGATGGGTTGTAACTGTCGGTGAAGAATTTTAATTCTTGGGGATGTTTTGTGGTTGCTCACAGTCATTTTTGAAGTAATGTGAGAAACCATAGAAGGGGGTAGAGAACTCCTCCCTAGGGGGTTCGGAGATATTCCTATGTAAAGCATACGCATCCTATTCTAGCGAAGATGACTTTGTTTTATAAAAGAAAAACCAAGAGTTTCACCAATAATTCCCGAGAATAGTTTATGAGCAAGAAAATTCGCCCTTTAAGGGTAAGTCCTGCCCCATCCGAAAATGGAGTTAAGTACATTGCCTTTAGTTCGTTACGATGTCGTTGTATCTGCTTCTTCTCTCTTGGTTTCCTCGCTGAGAAGTTGATACCCTACCCAACTTAGACTTCCATTAAATACAGTATCCATATGGTATAAGATATTGGTTGGGCGTCAGAGTTGTCATAAGCCACAAGCATAGTGTCTTTTCTAATAGCTTGCGGTTACCCCAAAAATGATCACATTTTGCTAGAATTGAGAAAAATTTATAGGCTGCACATGAACTTACTTACATATTTACATACTCATCGATGTAGTAAAAAGAAATCCATTATGAAATTGAAGGTTTAATTTTTATTTTTCGTATTCAGCCTTATGCCAATGGTTCCAAATGGGGTTTTGGGCAATTGAAAGAGAGATTCCATGACGTTCGGACCCGACAATGTCCATGATTTTATCGACATTTTCGACAATTGGCCTTCCAGTCCCTGAAGCATTTATTACATCCAAATTACCGAAGCTTCTCTAGTACGACATGTCATCTTTCTAACGCCATCTAGCGGAACACGATCGGACTTATACAATGCGAGATACAGATAAATGCCGCCATCTATTAGAAAAAAATTGGCGGCCGCGGTAGCCGAGTAGTTAGCATTGCGTACTGCCATTCGGAAGGCTTGGACTCAAGTCCTGGTGTCGTACTTACATCAAAAAAGGTTAAAGACGCTAAATTTTCTAATTGCGGTCGCCCCACGACAAGGAATGTCAGCCCCTCCGAGTGAATTTTTGACATGAAATAAAGCTCCTCATAAAAAACCAGCTGCCATTCGGAGGCGGCTGAGTAAAAACTGTAGGTCTTTCCATTTTTTGGAAAAAGATCAAGACGCAAACCTACAAAATTGGAGGAGGAGCTCGGCCGAAAATCGCGTCAGCGATTACAAAGTGCCCATTATATATGTAAATTATATTGAAAAAATAATGGATTACTTTTTACTACACCTAATACATACTTAAATATATATAAAAAGATGTATATTTAACTATAGAAGAGAGAAATAGTTCACAGCGTAAAATATTGACTGAAAGTATGTAAATATGTATGTATATAATTTATAAGTTGCATCCTTTCTGTGTAGCGTCCAACAAGTTTCAGTGCACCGTTGCATATGTATGTATAGCTACAAAATTATGCTTTAATTGCCCATCACGTA